ACCTTTTTAATTGAGTATGGAAATATTTATTTCCAATATTTTTAAGTGCTTTATTGAGTGCATTTGGCAGCACGACAGCTCAGTGGTTAGCACCGACGCCTCACAGCAAGAAGGTCCCCGGTTCGGACCTGGAGTCTTTCTGTGCGGAGTTTGCATGYTCTCCTCGTGCTTGTGTGGGTTTTCTCCAGGTACTCCGGTTTCCCCCACCCTCCAAAACATGTACAATAGGTTGCCTTCAGGCCCAGGCCTCCCTTGAAACAAAGAGATCTGCGATCTCAACGGGACTTGCCTGGTTAAATAACGGTAAATAAATAAATAAATTAACCTATAATTTAAAAGTATATCTCATAGTGCATGTGCAAATGAGCTTCCAGAAGAGATTGTGCAGTGGCTACAGTCTGTGCATATCTCTATAGGAGCAACATCAGGTTGCTTTTAAATGGTGAGATTAAGTACAGCAGTTAGAAACAATTCTAAACTTAGTTTCAACACAAAACAAAGMTTGCACAATCAGCTATTTTGCCTCAGGATGTTGATCTGCAAACTGTCAAGACTTGTGGTTCTGTTTAGTATTTCTTCTGTATTTTGTTCCTGTTTTGTGTATTTCTGGTTAGTCTGCTGAGTTTAAGCATTGTTTCTGCTTCTGTTTCTGCCACACCCACATGCACCTGATCCTGCACAGGTATTAGTGGTTTCACCTCATTTGTTTGACTTTATAATCCTGATGTGTGCTTTGGTTCAGTGATCTGGCATTATTTTTTGTCTTCTGTCAGCAGTAGCTCTTTTTTGTTTTTTAAAATTTGTTGCCATGACAGCATTTTGTTTTGTTATTAAGTTTTTAGTTTTTCATTAMAACTCCTCTTGCCYCTGTCTGCATCCTGGGTCTGACCTTAAAATACAATCCACCAAATGTGGAATGAACCAATTAATGTGATGTACCAATTTCAAGATGTTTGCTATGCACATCAGCACACACCAACACTTAAAACAGTGATCAAAGTAATAAATTTCAATGTCAAACTATGTTAAAAGGCAGGACTTAATAATATACTTTTTATTTCCACAATGATTACATTTGAAAAATGTAGTATGGATGGATTTAATGTAGGCAAATTCACCAGTGTTGAGAAATATGACGTACAAATGACGCTATTTCAACGTTGATCAGATTTGCAAAATCAAAACAAAATTCAATGGTTATCCAACACAACCAGCGGATGTTGACTCAACASTGACCAGACGTCAAAATGCCAGCTGGGGCAATTTGTAATCTTCTAATGGCTTGTATGAGTAAATAATACTCATGTCCCTAATAAAATATTACTCATAGAAACACACACACACACACACACACACACACACACACACACACACACACACACACACNCACACACACACACACACACACACACACACACACACACACACACACACACACACAGAAGGTTAATGAGATCGCGCCTCTTTTTGTGTTTTCACAGAACAATATTTTTCTTCCACATTTAACTTTTCTCTTAACAAAATCTTTTCTCAGAACTTCTCTCAGTTCTTTTGTGTTTTCTGTTTTTCTCCTAATCTCCCTCTTTGAAGCACAATTTCCTATTTACACTTTATCTGATTGCTTCACTCGTGTACATCAATCTGTCATAATATTGACGACCACGTTCCAGAAAGAAATGCACCGTGACGCAGTTGTGAATTCAAACCCACATCCACACAAAGATTAGAGGAGGACCAAATGGACATGGTACATTGTGTTTCACAGCTGGTGGTCTCTGAAACAACTCAAGAAACCTCTTGTTTGCCCTGATGGACTAGATTTTTTTGTAAAGCTACTTTGATAATTACTCCATGTAATGATTAAAATTAAACAAAAAGGTTATGACTTCCTTTTTAACTGAAACACTGCAGTTCAGAAGCACTGAAATGAATAAACTGGACAAAATGTCCAGTCCAGAATTATGTGAGCTCACTTCATTAAGACATTTTCACATAAAATAATTTTAATTTTAATTTTAGAGTAAATTACACCCATTACTGTAATGTAATAAAGAAACACGTTTGTTTTTCTATCCCAGCCCATATTTTACACCCTGATGTCTTTCCTGTGCTTGTATTGTWATGCACTGTGCTTTAATGCAATTGTGATTTGTAGAGATTCATTTTCTCTAAATGTAATGTGTGATAACAGGACAAAAAAAAATCTGGATTATGATTGGGGCAGCTGTGGTGTAGTGGTAGAGCAGCCGACTTGGGACCAGAAAGTCACAGGTTTGAGTCCCTGTCATGCCCACATGTCGCGGTATCCTTGAGCAAGATACCAAACCCCCCGCTGCTCCCAGGGCGCTCACATAGCTGCCCGCTGCTTCACTTGGGTGTTTCTCATGTGATGGGTCAAATGCAGAGCACAAACTTCATGGTTGCATGGGAACATGCATTGATGACAAATAAAAAAGCACCTTCACCTTGTGATGCTATACGATTCTCTGAGGCAGGCAGTAATGGAGATATTAAAATCTGAAAATAACATTAAACTCCATTTGACACCAGCCGAACAACTACTATCATCTTCGAATGAAGTGCCCTCTAAAAGCATCATCTGCAAATATTTGTTCTCTTAAATATTATTATTATTATTTATTCATTTCACTTAAATGCAAAACAAATTATACATACACAAAAAATACAAATAACAAATAAGGTGAAAGGCAATAGAATGAAGAACAAATGTTATATATGTACTTATTTTCCAAAAAATTATTTCAAACAATAATGTTAAATAATAATTAATCTTTCTAAAAAAATGTATGGATCAAGTGTAAATACACCAACAAGTTTAGAAATGTGCATAGGARAGTAGATCTGTAATTCAGCTCACCATCAGTTGCAGATGAAAACTCTCCCGTGGATCCGACACAAGTGCTGCTCAGGTGCAGTCAACCAGGAAACACTGATGACTGCTCTGCTCGCCTTCACTCTTTTTATCCACACCTGCCTCTCTCTCTCTCTCTCTCTCTCTCCCTCCCTCTCTCCCTCCCCCTCAACACTCATTGTATCTTTCACAGGCTCTGTCCTGAAAGTCCACGGCAGCTCGCCACCCAAGAATCCCTGTTTCTGCTGAGAGGTTGGAGGAGCTGGCCTCCAGTTTGTTCTGTACAATTAACCAGCCGTAATTAAAACAACTTTATAATCAGGGTTGCACATAAAATATTTGGTCTGGTTCTCGTGAGAGAACCTGGGGTTGTTGCTTTGTGCTCATACTTTCCTTAATTCATTTAACACATTTATCAAGAGGGGTGTCAGGCAATTTATTATCGCCCCGTTCTGTTTTATGACGCCTTCTATCAGCTGGCAATGTCTCAGGACATCATGCCAAATCAGAGTTTTTTTTATTTATTTATTCATTTTTTACTCTGCATTTTACCTAAGTGGCCAATGGGCTGACCCATGGGCATATGTCATCTCAATTTGAGCATTTCATGTTTAAATGTCTGTTAGATTACACATGACTCTGAGATGGACAGCTCCTGTAGTTTGGCCTTTTAGATCTTTGGCCTTTTGATCTTTTACATATTTTGGTCTTTTGCACAGAACAAATGATTTATTTGTTAGACTGATCTCTTTTTTTAAAAGACTATTTTGTTCAAAAACATAATTTAGATGGTTTCAACTCATGTCATCATTTAAAATTATTTATTCTTCATATTTKATCATTTATTGAATTACATTCATCCCAGAGCAGTTGTGTCACAGTATGATTCTAAATATAAACATGTTTAGCACATCAAGAACCTTGTTGTTATCATAGAATTGTGAAGAATGAAATTTGTGGATGTTTCAGATAAATTAAAATAACATTTAAAACTCATTCACCGGTTAGGGTTAGGGGTTGGGTTAGAGAACATGGCAAGTTTTTATTTTAATTTTTTTTGAATGGGTGGGCGGTGGGGGGGTGTGACATTAAAAAAAGACTCATCTTTGCTTTGATATGGGGCAAATAAATAATGTTTGTCTGTTAGAGGTAATAYGGTTTAAAAGAACTCAAACAGTGAATCTCACAGAGCTCACAGCCATCGCACGCTGAGGCGAGTTCCCGTCTCTCAAGGAGGAGACAGTTTAGTGGCTGATGCAACGTTGGACAGATCTGTTGGATAACAACACTTTGAACATATATTTAATATAAAGTTAGGTTTTAAAGACCAAAGTCTCTGGTAGTTCAGGAGCAAAGTGCAGGAGGAGATGTCAGGACTGACTGCTGCAGCCGCTGCTTCCTCTGTTTCTGCTGAAAACTGCTCTGACTGAAAGTCCCGCCTTGCTCTGCTCTGATTGGATAAAACAGCTCTGGAGTTCCTCTGATTTGTTGGAAGTAGTGTCTCTTTAATCCTTRTACATCAGGGTCCCACTACCCTCCTCTGACAGAACGACGACTCAATCACACCGGTGAGGATGGATTGTTTTTTTGTTTTGTGTTGATTTGTTTGTTTTTAAGAAATCAGGTCACATTTGCGACCTTGCTAGCTGTTGTTTTCACAATCCCAGGTATTATATGTAATATAAAGTTATTAGTGAAGGAAATCAGTCTGGATAACAGCAGACTGACTGCATGCAAAATACTGTATACGACAGGTCTGGACCACTCGTGAATTGTGTTTGTCTCTGAAAAAAAAAAAAAAAACATGTTTAAACATGTTTAGGTACGCAAGGGAGCTTTACGATGTTCCATCTGGTGCGCTTTTTCTTTTTTGATCGCGCATGCGCACCTACGCACCGCTTATGTGCAACTCTGTTTATAAAGCATAGTTTAATTTTGGCCTCAGGAAATATACAGTAAATTAATTGACATTTTTATTGTGGAGAGACAATTTTAATTAATTTTAGTTTTCCGGTTTTGCAAAATGTCTGTCTTTTCCAAGAAATACTGTAGGAGGGTTTCAAGAACTTTTCTACAATTTTTAACGTCTTGTCAGAAAAGTTGTACAGTTTAGTGACTCTTTTAATAAACAACCTCAGTGTTGCAGTGCTAATTCTCAGTCCACCAGAACATCTGTTTCTTTCATAAAACAGTTTAAAGTCAAAACAATGGGCCTCATGCAAGAACATTTTAGCATTCTTATCCTACATTTCTCTTACTTTTGTTCGTATGAAGGGTCCATACGACCATGCCATGTCAGATTCAGCAAGTACTTCCAACGTGTAAATGAGCAACGTAAACATGATGAATTCCACCTGTTCATATGTTGGTGCATGAGGAGAGGAAATTAGCATAATTACTGCCCCAATAATACCATAAGCCAAGGAATGGGAAGAAATAACGGCTGCAGTTAATGTTAATGCAGTGTTATCCACTCTTCCCTGTTCTGCTTTGCACTGCAGGCACTGTTACCTCCACTGCTGACAGTCTAATGATGTTTTGCAAAAATGACAGATTGTTTTGAGGGTCACAGGTAAAACAAACGGTTGACATGTTTCACTTCGATAAAGAACCAGTTTGAAAATGGCTTCAAAAACGTCTTGCCATTACAATTATTGCACAATTTAAGTTGATTTGTAGTTCGAGACTTTTTATTTTTTATTGTAGTGTCGTTCAATAGCATTAATAACTAATTAAAATTATGTCATTAGGGATGTAAAACAGTAATACAAATAATACTTTTAAAATTACAAGTCCAATTCAAACAGAATAGCCTATTATTAACATAATTATGGAGTGTGATTTTATTTTCAACTCAAAATATCTTCAAACTAATGAAATATAAAGTTATTAGTGAAGGAAATCAGTCTGGATGACAGCAGACTGACTGCATGCAAAATATACGACAGGTCTGGACCACTCGTGAATTGTGTTTGTCTCTGAAAAAAAAATCTAACAATATGACAAAATCGTTGAATGCCATAACTTCTCCGAAATCACTCATACGCACAACTTAAGAACAAATCTGTTCTGTTCGTATGAATGGTTCCTGCATGAGGCCCAATGTTCAGATGTTTCTACTGCTCCAAAGATCCACAATTCTCTTTACATCGATGTTGTTGTCATTTTCCTCTCACATCCCACAAAGTGGTCCAGGTGTTCCCTGCACATGGACAGAGTCCTGTCCATCACAGAGTCCTAAAAGGACAACAAATTGGACTTGAAATCCAAGACGGGAGTAAAAATGGTGCATACCTGAATGACTACAGTCCCAGACACAGACCATCTCAAACCTGTGCTCTGACTAGCCTGAATATGTGTGAAGGTTTCTAAAATGGAAATTATTCTTTAAGCTGACTTCCTAAAACCCAGTCTAAAAATCAATTTAAAAACWCTTTGACCCTGTCTTTTTGAATACTAATGTACTTCTTCCATTTTTAAATTAAAAACCTATTAAGTTGAAAAAAAAATTGTAACTGATTAATTATATTGGATTCAGTTTTGTATTTTATACTTTCTGATCATTTCAGTCTGTAAGGTTGAAGCTGACAAAGAGTTGGTGTATGTGTGTTATCATGTGTTCTTTCTCTTAGCCTAAACAAAAATGAGTGGCATTCTGACATGTGACGTAAAAGGTAACACCTCCTGGGGTGTACCCAGGAAGAAAGATACATTATAAGCTCTATTCATTTTGATAGTAGAAAGAAGTTGTCAGTGTTTTGCAGAGTGTCTGCTCAGAGCAGAGCTCTTGTC